GAGCCTGCGGGTGTTCACTGTCTGCCAGGTGGGGAGCCTGCGGGTGTTCACTGTCTCCCAGGTGGCGAGCCTGCGGGTGTTCACTGTCTGCCAGGTGGTGAGCGTGCGGGTGTTCACTGTCTGCCAGGTGGGGAGCATGCGGGTGTTCACTGTCTGCCAGGTGAGGAGCGTGCAGGTGTCAGTCTGCCAGGTGGGGAGCGTGTGGGTGTCCATTGAATTGATTTTTTTCTTTATTTTTCTGGATATTCTTTCTTACCCACTGATGAACAGCATGTACATGTTTAGAAATAGGAAGGCAGAACACAGGGGGAAAAAATGCAAGGACTTTAAACTGGAGTTTCTGCAGAGCCAGGTAGGGTATGGGGGCAGGTAGAGGGTAGGGCATTGTGCATTTTGATGTTTTAGCTTATGATTTCTTGGTGCTATTCTAGTTGCTAATGCTGTTCTGTCTGGATGTGTATTTGTAGCTATTGATGGGCACAGATAGCACCTAATGAGAAAAATGTTCTATCTGATTTCATTTATTCAAAGTTTGAACACAGGAATGATAATGGTGGTTGCTTTTATGGGGGAGGCAGCCGGGAGCTGTGTGGGTGTGGGGTGTGGATTGCACAGGAGCTCACAGCTGTCAGAACGCGAAGAATTGTGCACCAGATCTGTGCATATCACTGTGTGTATATGTTATCCTAGTTAACAGGTAGTGTAAGAGGTTTTTGTTTTTAGAGGCAGGACTTTGTTCCGTTGCCCAGGCTAGAGTGCAGTGGTGCAGTCGTGGCTGACTGCAATGTTGACCTCCCAGGTTCAAGCAGTCCTCACACCTCAGGCACCTGAGGAGCTGGGTGCCGGCATACCACCCTGCTCAGCTAATTTTTTTATTTTTCGTAGAGACAGGGTCTGACTGTGTTGTCCTGCTGGTCTTGAACTCCCAGGCTCAAGTGATCCACCCACCGTGGCCTCCTGAAGTGCCAGGATTACAGGCATGAACCACTGTGCCTGGTCTCATAAGTAGTTTTTTGATGTATGAGTTTCCCCCTGTGTCGAGGGAAACCTCAGGCAGATACAGGGCAGCTCTGGCTTTAGTGCAAACCAGGGGAGAAGTGGCCGAGGGATGGTCTGTTTGGGTCATGGTTTTGTGGGAGAGACATTCCCACATGTCCTGTGATTTTCAGCATGAACTCGAGGGTGTCTGTGTTTGCTATTTCTCCAGGCTTTCTGGGTTCTCAGGCAGAGTTTTCGTGAGTGCCGAGGGCATGATGTGGGCATTTCACACAGTACCAGCAGCTTTTCCTTTGAAAGGGGCACTCTGCCGGGATGGTGGTTTTTTCTAAGGTGTTGTGGAATGCTTGGACTGCAGAGTATCGGCTGCATGCTGCTGCTGGGCCTTGGGAAATTCTTCCCCATGCTGATGCTTGAAGCTTCCAATATGCATTCTCTCTTGCTCAAACCCATGTCCGGCTGGTGGTTGGTGAGGTCACTCTTCGTGGGCCATGGACAGCTCGTCATCAGTGGGCTCCAGCGTGAGCAGCCTCTGCATCTGAAACTTCAGATTTTGTGTCCTGGCATCTCTGACTCTGTGTGTCCTTCCTTGTCCATCCTCAGAGCCCAAGGCAATGTTTGCAAAGGAGCAGCTGGCACACAGGAAGCTGCAGGTGGAGGTGGGGGCCAGTGCCATGCTGAGCTGCGAGGTGGCCCAGGCCCAGACAGAGGTGACGTGGTACAAGGATAGGAAGAAGCTGAGATCTGGCTCAAAAGTGCGTGTGGAGGCCGCGGGCTGCATGCGGAGGCTGGTGGTGCAGCAGGTGGGCCAGGCGGATGCTGGGGAGTACAGCTGCGAGGCTGGGGGCCAGCGGCTCTCCTTCCGTCTGGACATCAAAGGTCAGTTGTTTGGGCAGACATTTGAGCATCGCCTGGGGGCAGTGTTTCAGCATAGGCTGGAATGGTGATTAGTGGCCACCTGAGGGCCTGTATCAGCTAGTTATCTGCTGCTAAGTAACAAATCACTCCAAACTTAGAGGCCCGAAAGAATGATCAGTTTACCTCTCACCATTCTGCAGGTTGAGAATTTGGGCAGGGCTCAGCAAGTGTGGTTCATCTGTGCTTCATGTGGTGTTGGCTGGGGCTGGGGGATCTGACTGGCCTCACTGGTGCATCTGACTGAGGTCCAAGCTGGGATGGCTCCAGTGGATGGGGGATGGCCTGGATGATGGACCTCTCTCTTCTTATGGTGTCGGCTGGCCTCACTTCCACACCTGCAACCTCATTCTTTCCTCTGTGGTTGGTCTCTTTTTGTGCTTTTTTCCATGGTGACTGGATTATTCCCCTAGGGAATGATAGAAACTATGAGTCTTGTTAGCTGTGTTCTCTGGACTCCCAGAATGTTACTTTCTCCATGTCCTATTACTCAAAGCTAAGTGCAAGGCCAGCTTAGTCTGCAGGAACTAGGGTGTAGAGAAGTAGACCCTACTATCAGTGGTGGAGTGGCATGTTCTGTTGTAGAACACTGTGCACCCAGGGTGTCTTGACTCATCATGACCTTTTTAACAGTCTATCAAAAGGACACGGGCTCTGTTTAATTCTCTGCCATCCTGAGCACATTACCTTTTTTTTTCAAATGCATGCCTCATGGTCATAGGGTGGCTTCCATAGCTCTAGCCATCACATTCAAGATGGGAAGATGTGGAAAGCGTGTGTATTAGTTTTTGTTTGTTTGTTTGTTTTCTGCTTGTTTATTTTTTTAAACTGCTGCGTAACAAATTATCACCAACTCAGTGGCTTAAAACAATGCTGACTGAGTAGCTCATAGTTCTGTAAGTCAGAGGTGCAGGCGTGGTGTGGCTGGGTTCTCTGTTCAAGGTCTCAGAAGCTGAAGTCAGGTGCCTGCTAATTAGTTCTCTTGGTTCCTATTTCCAGCTTACCCAAGTTGTTGGCAGAATTCAGTTTCTTGCAGTTGTGGGTCTGTGAGCCCATGTGTCTGAGGCGGCCATTAGCCAGGGAGCTGCTGTCAGATGTGGCTTTGTCCATCGTCAGGCCAGTAATGGAGAATCTCCCTTGTGTGAAGTTACTCTCAGACTTCAAATCTCTTTTGCCAGGGAAGAGGCCCCTCCCATTTATGGTGTCACCTGATTAGGTCTGGCCCACCCAAGATTGCCTCCCTTTCAAGGAACTCAAAGTCAGGCTTCCTTCTCAGCAGCACCTAGATTTAGTGTTTGGGCACTCTTAGAATTCTGCCTCCCTCATTGTGGGTGTCTCTGGCTGTCTCTTCTGTTTGGGAAACAAAAGCTTTTCTTGAAGCCTGGGGTACATCAACCCCCATGCCTCCCCTCGCTTGGTGGGAACCTTGCAGCCATGCTCAGCTCCAGGTAGCCTGGAGAACATGCCCTTGGCCTTCAGCCTTGTCAGGAGGACGTGGAGGAGGAGGAGGTGGGCTTGTGCTGGGACTGGCCCTGCAGTCCACACCCCACAGGCTAGGTTTGGACCTCCTTCTGAGGCAGGCTGGTGGTGGGATTGGCCGTGTGTGGGGTCAGACTGCCGGAGTGTCTTGTTCCTGCCTGTCTGCTGAGTGACCTCGGGCGAGTTGTTGATACTGTGTCGTCCCCAGATTCATGTCCACCTGGCAGCTCAGAACAGGCCTCACTTGGAAACAGGGTGTTCACAGATGTAATTAAGTGAAATGCCTCGTGATGAGGCCGTGGACTGAGATGGGCCCCCAGCCAGTGACTGTGTCAGACAGACCGGGACACACACCGAGGAGGTGACCATGGGAGGCGGAGGCCAACACGGGGCTGATGCAGCCACAAGCCCAGAGAGGCTGAGAGCCCCAGGAACTGGGAGAGGCAAGGTGGGCCCCCGCTTAGAGCCTCCTGGGATCACAGCCCTGCAAACCTTGATCTCAAACTTTTGGCCTCCAGGACTGTAAGGAGATGACTTTCTGTCATTCAGAGCCGCTTAGTTTGTGGTGAGCTCTTCCGGCAGCCCCCGGAAACTCAGACAGTTGTCCTCTCTGTGCCTCAGTTTCCGCCTCTGTAAAATGGGAGTCGTGATCGTGGCATCTGGGGACTGTGCCGGTGCCGGGCACTGTGAATTATAGCTGCAGGGATTGAGTTTTGGGGGCTAAGTAGGTCAGGGCAGGAGGGCAAGCCAGCTTGGTGGTGTAGACACTGGCCAGCCTTCGCGGCAGAGGCCATGGCGTGGGGCAGGAGGGGATGGAGGTGTGCCAAGCTGCAGGAGCTCAGAGGCACTGGCTGCCAGCAGAGTGGGCACCAGGGTCTCCGGAAAGGTCTCCGTGGCAGCGGCTCATCCAGCCTGTTTCCCTGTCTGTAAAATGTGCGTCCCAAGGTGCACCTGCTCTGAGAGGAGGAGAGGGAATTGGTGTGAGATGCTGCTCAGCAGGGGTGGGGTGCAGGGTCCATCCCGCCTGCCTGCTGCTGCTTTTATCCTGGGGTGACCACAACTCAGACCCCAGGGGCCAGCTGGCAGTCTGTGGGCTCTGTCACATAGGTGGGTGGGGGGAGAAGCAGACCCCAGGGGCCAGCTCGCACGTCTGCGGGCTCTGTCACATACGTGGGCGGGGGAGAAGCAGAC